GGGGGCGGCGCGGCGCTCTGGCCGCCGGGGGGAGAGCCGAGCCGAGCCCCAGCCGGGGCTCGCGGCCCTCTCGCCGCCCTGCCCCCGGCGCTCTGGCTTTTTTGCCTGGGGCGGCAAAAAAGTCAGAGCCGGCCCTGTTTACATTACTCTGCTTTATATTTCAGTCGCATTGCATGCAAACAATTGAAGTAAGCTCTAAACCTATGTGGATGCATGGGTCGAGGCCCAGATGTTATGGTCACAAACACCAAGCAAGTGCTTGTAACAACAATATGTTATGTATTGTATAGACAATATATTGGGAGAGCTGGCTTGCATTATTTTATTCTGTACCACATCAGAGGAATCAAGGATATATGTTCCCATTCACGCTGTTCCTGCACTCCAGTGAGCACTGGTTGGAAGAAGAGGAAGGAGGAGGAGGACCTAGCACTTATATAGTGCTTTTTATCTCTAGATGTCAAAGTGCTTTACAAAGGGAGGTCAGTGTCATTATTGCCATTTTACAGATGGCAAAACTGAGGAACAGGGAGGGAAATGCCCTGGCCAAGTCACCCAGCAAACCAGTGGCAGGGCTAGGAATGGAACCAGGGTTTCTTGAGTCCTTTAAAAGCCTATAGGAGCCATGGGCAGCCAGGCATAAATAAAACAATGCTGATTGAATTTAGAGCTTGCAAAAGGCGCTACTTTGATAGTACTGGAGATAGAAATCCTGTTTTATCCACAATAGATACAGCAAAGGACCCTTCACTGCGCCTAGGGTGACCAGACATCCCGATTTTATCTGGACTGTCCCAATATTTACTTGTTTGTCCCGCGTCCCGACCGATTTTCGGTCGGGATGCAAATTGTCCCGATATTTTGCCCTCCGGCGCACAGGTGGAGGGAGCTCATGCCCCCCCAGCCCCAACTCCACCCCAACTCCGCCCCCTCCCTCCCCCATTGGATCCCTCCCCAAACCCCCACCCTTGCCACACCCCCAGCCCTGCCCCCTCACTGCCCTATTGGATCCCTCCCCAAATCCCCGCCCTGGCCCTACCTCTTCCCCAAGCATGCCGCATTCCTCCTCCTCCCCCTCCCTCCCAGGCTTGCGCTAATCAGCTGTATGGCAGCGCAAGTGCTGGAGGGAGGGGGAGAAGCAGGACACAGCAGGAGGCGGCGCAGGGGCGAGCTGGTGCGGAGGGGCGGGGCGTGGAGCTGCCGGTGGCTGCTCAGCCCCCACCAATTTTTCCTATGCTCCGGCGGCTCTTGGTTTGCTTGGTTTTTTTTGCTTTTGTTTTTGTTTTTTCCTCTGCTGCTGGCTCTTGGGGGTTTTTTTTTTTTTTTTT